CCACTGAGAGCTGTGTATCTCCAACAAGTTACTGCAATGACAGAGAGTGAATTCTCAAGGACGTAAGGACACATCCCCGGACTCAGAAAACATGCAGGCGAGAGGCTGCTGCTGCCCTCCCTGCCTGGTTGAGTGCAGGGTGCCGTCTTCACCAGCAAAGTCTAACTGAACTCCTTTCCAGGTTTTCCGTGAGGCCAGTGACTTATCAAAGATGAAACTTTGCAGGTCCTTAGCCTCCGATCCTTTCACGAGAATCCTATCATTTCCACACCATTGACTGGGGCCTACATGCTGCTTTGGGTATAGAAGAGAAAAATAAAGCTGACAAAATATTTAGCAGCCACCTCCTCGGGCAGTTATGAAAACTCAGCTGAAAGGATTATGCCTGGCTTCTCAGAAAAGAAAGAAGAGAGAGAAAAGACAAAAACATTCAAGAATTGTTTGCTTCTAGAGTCCCTTCAGTAAGCACCGCCTTTCCACAGGGACAACAAATGTAGGCTCTGTCAAAGAGTTTCCATTTTTCCTAACACTCCCTGAGCAATTCTCAAACCATTGCCATTAAACGAACCCTGTTCTCTAATGCACAAGCACATTTGTAGGAATCAGACATGAGATGCTTCTGACCATTCCAGAACCTTCACGTTGGAGCCTCGTAGAAGAAGCTTTAGTGGAGTCTCTCAGGTACAATGGCTGCTTTCTTGTTCTATCTTTTTTCTATGAGGAACATGAGACCAAGAGAACAATGACAGGCCAGTAACAAACCCGGGGGAGTGGCAGCTCGGGACAGAACCTGGGAGCTGTGCCTGGGACCACCCTCCACACTGCACCCCAGCAGCTGAGAGAATAGGCCAGAAGGGATTTGTGACTTTCCCAGTTCATCTCCGAGCTGACCAAAGGTCCCTGGTGACACCACATTCCCTAGAGCACCATAAGGTCTGAAGTCCCTTCTGGACTGATCGCATGTGCTCCCCACCCCATCTGGCTTCCCCGACCTCCAGGCTAACACAAGTCCCTAGGCCTCCTCCACAGAATTTGGTGCCCTAGTCAAGACTAGTCCCAAAGACTAATTTGTCACACATTGTGAAAATATTACATATTCAGAGTAAAGTCTTCAATTATGCACAATGGTATATAATAAAAGACAGAATTCCTCTCCCTGTCACCTGACTCCCCCACGTGCCCTCCCCACAGATCATCGCACTTCACAGTTTATTTTATATCCTTTGAGAAATGATTTATGCATATGCAACTGAATCTATATACACTTTTTTAAATAGTCAAGAGAGAATCACACAAAAAGCATACTGTTGCATCCGCTTTTTTTTAACTTAATGTATTTAGACATTTTTCTATATCAGTACACTCAGATCTAATTTGTTCTTTTTCTTTTTAAGAACTGAATACTGTTTGAGCAGATCATAATTTGTAAGTCCTCTTGTGAGGGACCATTAGGTGCCTCCCGGCTGTTTACTCCAAGCCAGGCTGCAGTTAAATTATTTGTACACATATCTGGGTGATTCTGGGCAAGTTTTTCTCAGAAGTAGAGTCCTTGGCTTGGACAGTGGGCACATTGGAATGTGGATAAATGATGCCAGACCGGTCTCAAGAATAACAATTGACAGTAAAGTTTTTGCTCTTCTACACTCTTGGCAACACTCAGCATTCATCAATAGGTAAAAATGGCATTTTATTGTTTTAATTTCCATTTTTAAATTATGAATCAAATTGGGAACATACCCACTCATAAATCCTAAGCATGCATCTGTAATGCCCTGCTTAAAAACATACAGGTACACACACAGAAACAGAGTTGTTTTTTTTTTTCTGTGAACTACTTATTCATATGCTTTACTCATTTTCTCTTGGATTATTCATATATTCTTCTTGATTGATAAGAATATACACATATCTCTGAAATTACTATATATTTATCATATACATTTACATTTTCCTACTTTGTTCTTTGAATTTCTTCAGTCTATTTACATTATTATTATAATACTGAGAATTTCACATTAAAAAAAATAATTTATCAGTGTCGGGCTTTAAAACTTCTCAGTTTTATGTCAGACCCTAAGAGTTTCCCCACTACAAAACTACTTTTTAAATTATTAGTATTTCCTTCTAGCATTTTTATTGCTTAATGCTTTGCGTATAAACGTTTTAACCTTTTGGTTTGGTGTAAGACATGAGGTAAGAACCTATTTATATATTGTTGCCAAATTTCCATTTGTCCAAACATAGCTTAATACCTAATCCAATTTTGCCTTACTGATTTCAAATACTATCCTACATGTCAAACTCCCAAACACAGAGTCTATTTCTAGACTCTGTAAATTGTTCATTGATTTTTTTTCTATTTCTACCTTGATTATAAACTAATTTAATTACTCTACCATCATTACACATTTTAGTATCTGATATGGCTAGTCTTCCCTCATAACTCTTTTTTGGTACGTTTTATTTTTATGCTGGAAAAGTTACCAGCAGACTCTCCCTTCCAGGGCAACGGCTTGGGTTTGCTTTGAAGGATGACTCTTCAGTTCTGTGAAAAACCACTTGAGTGGGTCCTGTGGTTATGCAATCCCCACCCACACGCTGGGGAAGACCTGAATGTGAACCCAGATGCCATCTGCTCCATCGCAGTCGAGAGCTCTGTTTAGAAATGCAAATTGGGCAGATCTTTGAACAGATCTGTTTCTATAGTTTACACAGCCAATAAAGAAATGTTTCTTCCCTAAGTGTGAATTCGTAATGTCCTACTCATACATGTGAGTACATGTGACAAAGGGATGTGTGTCTCTGTCAGCATTTGTCTCCAGGAGTGGCAGAGAGGGGATGGGACCACCCTTCAGAGCAAGAGACAATGTGGGAAGGAACAGGCCGGATGGGGCAGCCCATCCCAGCCCGGAGTCTAGCCCACACTGGTGTCGGGAACAACTGAACACCCTGAATGAGGAAAATGTATATGGTTAAACTTTAGAGTTCTGACTTATCCTAGAGTCTTCAGAGAAAACCTTATTCCTATGGCCCTTTTCCTTCAGGGAATAAATATTCCCAGTCATCCTGGAAGGAAAATGGGAAAACGGAGGTGCTTGGAGTCATTTAGGGCTTGGGGACCTTGACTCCAGGTGACAGAGGTGTGCTCAGGGCGCTGCACTGTGGGTGGTTAAGCAGCAGGCTGGGGGCCACCCTGAGAGGGAAGCTGACGAGGAGACTGTACATGTTGTACATGACCTCAGGGGGGCCTCTGAACACTGCCATGGTGGGAGTCCCTTTTGCATTCTCTTCATTGTTCTCGGCTTCTGAAACCTCCAAATCTTCACAATGCCTTGGACCATTTCACAGGAAATCAAGGGGGCGTGAAGGGAAGTGACTGTGCCCAACTGGGAAAAACAGCCAGGAGACATCCAGCTGCAGAATGAAGAGAGCCGAGAAAGCAGCAGGCTGGGCACGAGTTAGCAGGAAATGAACTGACAGATGACAGAGGTGGCAACAACCACCACAGCCGACTTCTGTAACGCAGGTGGTTCCCAGGGAGTTCCAGAAGACAATACTTAGTTAGGCAGGGAAACTGGAATACGCAGTAATTTCTACAACCACTCTAATTTGGTTACTAAGGGGAAATGAGACCCGACACCTGTGGAAGAAAGGGTCATCTCTGTAATGAATGTTTAACTTTTGTAAATTCTAGTTTTGTTGTTTAAGGTGAGGTATTACTCATTACATTAAGTTCTCCAAATTAGGGCAGCTTCCATCAAGGCCTCACCAAACTCACACAGTTTTCTAATAGTCCAGTAAATCCTATCAAGGCAGGTCTTTATCCTAAACCAACCAACCAACCAACAAAAGTTTAAATCCAGCTCATCTAAGTGGTTACCTCAGCTCAACTGTCATCAGACTGAGGTCTCCAGGATGAATCTTGGTTGCCACCTTGGCTGGTGAGCAGGAAGAGGTCTCCCATGATGGACGGCTCTGCCATTCCCCCTGGGTGTGGCCTGTGGAAAAGGACCTCGCTCCTCCAGCTGTTGCTAAATACAAATAATTAAAAATTGAAGTTCCCACACTCTCCTCCTTTCCTCCCGCCCCTCCTCACCCAGGCTTCCATGCTGTCCTTGGGCCACCTACTGAGCCCTTGTTTCAATACAAGCTTCTCTGATACTCCTCTGAACTCAATGAACACAGACATATTTGGATCTGGGGAGATTACCACACCCCCACAGAACATTCTGTAATGTGATTCTCAAAGTTGCCCAATGCTAATGCAGTCATGAAAAAACATGTTTTGACTCAGGTGCCACTAGTCCCTATGAGTTCCTACCTCCATTTAATAAGCATTTTTTAACACATCTGTATTATATTCACAGCTCGATACCATGGAAAATAAGAGATGCTGATGGTCATACTAGCTTTTAGTTTTATGTATTTATATTTATAATGATTTCCAAATGCACTGCCTGATCTAAAGCCGAGTAGAAGAAATGTCTTTGCCTTAAAAGTCATTTAGGTTTCTTGGAAAACAATATGCCCCATGCTGATGTGAATATGTAATAAACTTTATACTTTCTATTTTACGAAATGAGAAAATTAACATGAGGTCGGCTTAACCTTAGAAGGATTCTTAGAGGGTGCTGACTCAGAGTACTTTTTTAAAATTTAGAGATGAATATGAGTGAAATTTTACAGATATTTTTACATAACCACAGCATAGAAATTTTGACAAAAGAATAAAACTCCACTATCCTCACTGATGTTATTAGCATGCATAAGAAAAAATAATGGAATAAAGTATATACTGGATTATTTGCTTCCATTAATTTTCCTTATATAATATATGGATATAGGTATAGATATATTGATACAGATATATAGATATAGATATTCTAATTTTTAACATTAGGCAATAAATAATTATATGCTACTACAAAGTGTTTTAACCATCATTTTAATATTTGTATCATGTTACAGTGAGTGTATGATAACACATTACATGACCATTGACCAATTACTGCACGTACTGAGTTTTCTAACATTTCAACTCTTTTGAGCCAAATAGTCTTTCCATGTTGTTGTTCCCTCCAGGTAATTACCTAAAAGAAACCTATTTTAAATAATCTACCTTCTTTTACATTTGGGCTTTCTTGCTGAAACTATGGTAAGTCTTTGTAAAATTGAGGTGATGAAAATCTTAATGAAGATTTTTTGCTGCAATTTTCAGTTATTTAAAAATCTACATCCACCCTTGTGTGACTGGTTCTTCTCCACAAACAGTTTTTTCTGTCTTCTTGGCTCATCTGCAAGGTAAGCAACATATTTTTCTGTCAACTTCTTGTTGGATATACGCAGAACCATTACCATTAATAAGATACACTAATTAAAATAAAAGTCGTGGTGTCTTTAAGATCTAAACATAAAAAAATGAATCAGTAGAATACCAAGTGTTTACTCTGGGTTAAAGTAAATAAGAAAATATTTTGTTCCTATGGAATCACTCCGGTATGTTGAAGACAGATTTAGGAACACATTTTCCTAGCTAATACAGTGGATTATTTATTTTCTCTTTTTTTCCACTTAAGCCTGGAAACAAGATGTTCCCGATTTCCCACCTGCATAACGCCATTCTACTGCTCCTTTAATTAATCGGTCCTCTCAAAATCACCTTTTATATTCCTCCCACAGTGTTCTAATTCTATCCACAGATCCCACTGGTGAGCTGTGCTGTGCTTGCGAGAATCCCTAGATTTTATCAGAGAAAGCAACTCAACACTTCCGTTGCCTTTGAAATTTTACACGCGGAGATGTTCCCTGTGGTCTCCCTACAGTGACTCCTAGACAGTTTTTTCTTGCAAGGACTTGTAGCACAGGTAAAAGTGGAGAAATGTGCAAGGACTGCAGAAACACAAGCCACAGTACCAAATTCCTTCCACCAAAAAATAAGAGATCCATAGACACACGCATTTGAAAGCTGTTTCTGTGTCTACCTCAGGATGTCAAATATAAGAACCCTGAGCATTTCGTAAGGTTAGTTAGCTATTTAAGCTCTACAAGCAAAGAGGATGGGAGATATTACAAACAAAACATGTTAAGGTCTTCTTATGTTTAATGTTGTTACATAATAATACTTGTTCACTATAAAAATTCAAAATTCACAGAAAAGTACAATGAAGAAAATAAAACTCACTAGGAAAACAACAGTCCTTTATGTCAAAAGAACCACACTGTTAATGTGACTGTTCTTTTTTTAATAAAATGGAATCTTGTTCTATATCATAATCTACAATCATGCTTTTTTCAATCCATAGTACACTATGAATAACTTCCCATGTTATCTGTGTCCTAAAACATGACTTCTGTCATATCATATATGAATGTAGCACAGATTTTTTAATTCCTGGTGTTTAATGCTTGTGGCAGTTTTTTCTATTATAAGGAAGTGTAATTCTGACTTCCCATAAATTTTGGGGGAAAATTCCTCCTTTTGCTAGTCACAAAATATAAACAATTTGAAAGATTTTTAGTGAATGTAGAGTTGTCCGTGAAGGATATTTCATTTTTTAATCTACAAAAATGTGTTCCCACATTTAAATTTATGAAAGTCAGGTGTGATATTGTTAACCGACTCCTAAAATAATCTCAGTGTGCTAGTGCATGCCTCCTCCAGTCCCTCTGTACACATAATCCTTTTGTTTCCATAAAAACTACAGAACTCGAAAAATGGCATTTTGTGCCATCATGATTATACTGGGAGAGAAGTACGGTTTACTTCCATCTCAATGTGTATTCCCTTCAAACAAAGGCTGTACTCTCCCAGGAAGAAGCCTTTTAAGATTAAAATGAAAAATCACTCCTTTTGATGGCAAAAAAACATCATGTACTTTTAGAATGTAAGGTGGACACCTAATGCTTTAGCTGACCAGGATCCCTTCCTCTCTTGGTTGTTTTTTATTTTGGGTGGGAGGCGGGTATAGTATAAGAACACTGCTCCATTCCATCTGGTTTCATAGCAGGGACCTTCATCCCTTCAGTTATTTATTAAGCATCTACTTTGTGCCATGCATTTTTCTAGAATTTTGGAATTCATCAGTGAGCAGAAGTGAAAACACCCTGCTGTCTTGGGGTTTAGATCCTAGATGGAAGAGTTGGCCAACTCAGACCAATTGGAATTATCTTGTAGGACTTTATACCAGACTGAGAAAAATACTCTTTGCATCTTGACTGGGAGTTATAATGATACCATTATAGAACTCCCAGAAGCCATGTCCCTAAGCTGTTTTGTATCCCCAGACCCTTCTTTCCTAGTTACAAGAGACAGCATAGCGCCCCCTGCCTTTTTGTCCTTAACTTATTTGTATAACCAGACTCTGGTCCCACACTGGCGAGTGCCTTACTTTTTTTTCCCCTCCTCTCTTAGATGATGGGATCTGAGATTGCTAGAACCAGGAGGAAAGAAGATGTTAAGCTTACGTTTATGCTTTATTTTTTTCCTCTAACAGTTCTCTCTCTAATTATTTCATCTTATGCATATATTTCATTAACTCAACATTTATTGAGCAACTACTATGCACCACCATAGTCTTCTAGGTACTAAGAACAACACACATAAAATTCCTATCCTGAAGGGAGTTTAATTTCTCGTGTAGCTAGCTACACGATCATCAAGCTAATGAACATAGAGTGGTGCTAAGGAATAGTAAGCAGGGTAGAACTAGGAGTGCTGAGAAAGGAGATCATCAGTTCATTAAAAAAAAAAAAAAAAAAAAACAGCCTGGATTGAGCACAGGCCTGTGAACCAAAAGATCACAGTTCAATTCCTAGTCACGGCACATGCCTGGGTTACAGGCCAGTTCCCAGCAGGGGACACACAAGAGGCAACGATACATTGATATTTCTCTCCCTCTCTCCTTCCCTTCCCCTCTAAAGATAAATAAATAACATCTTTAAAAAAAAACAGCCTGAGAAAGACCTTGCTTTTAAAAAAGATGCTTGCACAGAGACCTGCAGGGGAGGAGGGAGCAACCCGAAGTTCAGCTGCGGGAGTGCCGTTTGGGAAGAGACAGCAGCGCGGGGAAGCCGGGACACGGCGCTGAGCGGTCAGCTCTGCAGTCTGGTCCCGGGGAAGAGTCCTGGACTCTGAGACAAGTATTAATGTTACACAAGGAGAAAATGATGGAGGAAGGTATCACAGAAAATTGTAGATTTAGTTTACATTAATAGCTTTTTTTTTACTATCCCCTTTAAAAGCATGGTTTATGAAATGTTATTGAAATTCTGGCTCTTTTAATAAAGAGAGAATATTCAATAACTAGGGGTGGAATATCAAAATTATCTTTTTGGCATGCTTACTAAGAGCTCCCCATCTAAGTCTCCACTGGTGTCCGATCCACCTTCCCCCACCACCATCCTTGCCCACGAGTCAGTCACTGAGGGGTGAGAGTCTAGTTTCCACTAGATTGAAATCTGGAGTTGGGCGTCCTCAGCTGAAATGACAAGAGACACTAATGCCAAAAAGTCAGGCAACATCCACAAGGCCAGGGACTGACAGTTAGTATCTACATGCAATATGCATACAGTACATACATTATTTGGGGGGAAACACAGAATTCAATGAAGTACATGTTACATGTCTTACCCACTTTATTCAACGATTTATGAATCACGCAGCATCCCACCGAGCAGACAGCAAGGAGCTCTGAGGAGCTGTACAAAATGAAAGACTTTTAAGCAGAAGGAAGCAGGAACCAGAAAGCTACACTGGACACAAAGGTGGGCTGGTTATTACAACGTTACTTTCCTCCAGGGAATGGCAGGGGTCTGGCAGAAAGATGACCTACCTCGTGCTGACCAGGCGACTCCTGATTGACTGGTGTAGGATTCCATTTCTGGAAGGGCTGAAACTTTCATTAAGTCTTGGATGGAGACATGGGGTTTAGCATAAGGAACTCCATTTTGGGCCTGTTTTGTTTTGCATATACATATTGTGTGTGTGTGTGTGTGTGTGTGTGTGTGTGTGTGTACACTAACATTGAGACCCAGGATAAACTGAAACAAGGTTCCTTCCTCTGTCAAGAAGAAACAGTTAGAGACCCCAACCTCCTCCCTTCAAAAAGAGAAGTCAGTTATGATTGTGCCGGAATTGCTGCCCTTGTAAACCAGACACACTCCCCTTCCCTACGTCACATTCTTATGCAACAGGTAGGAGGTCTGATGAAAGTGCTCAGAGAGCCATCAAGAGACCAGCTGCCTTTACAATCCTGGAGAATCCCAGAAACAAGCTGTCCAGTGACGTGTGTTCTCTTATGGGCCTGCAGACCTGAGGAAGGCAAGTCTGTCAGGCTGGTTAATCAGCAAATTGCAGATGCCTTTCTCCTTTCTTCCAACACAGAGCTCCCTCTATCCATCTTATGATTGGCCTTCATTTCCCCACTGTAAGTGCTGGATCAGATTTTCGTAAGGCTGCCTTCAGCTTGGAGAGAAAAATTCACTCATTCTTTGGTGTTATGAACCAAACAGTCACCCTGGAAGAAAAACTACAATCCACAAATACTTACAACTGTGCTCAGCATTGTTAGGGAGGGGAGCTCAGTCTATAAACAACACTTTTTTTTAAAGATTTTATTTATTTATTTTTAGAGAGAGAGGAAGGGAGGGAGAAAGAGAGGGAGAGAAACATCAATGAGTGATTGCCTCTCAGACCTGGCCTGCAACCCAGGCGTGTGCCCCAACTGGGAATCAAACTGGCAACTCCTTGGTTCACAGCCCATGCTCAATCCACTGAGCTACACCAGCTGGGGCTACAAACAACACATTTGAAAGACTTTTCTACTTACTTTAAAAGTTTTAAAAGGAGACTACAAGTCTAGACTCCTTTAAAGAAGAAACCTTCTACTTTGAGGAAAGAGGAAGCATTTTTTGAGAGTCTACGGAAAGTGTGAAGTGCAGTTGGAACTCCTGTGGTCAGTGATGAGATGCCATGCCTTCCGTGATGAACTCGTGGAGAAAATACCAAGAAATCAGAGGCAAGCTAAGACTCGCCCACACCACACCTTCCTGGGGAAGTAGCATAGTCATAGTACAGTTCTGGGCACTTAGAGGTAACAGGAGGGCACGGGAACCTGCTTGACCACACCTCATACCACATGGACAACCACTCAGCTCTCAGGCAGGAGCTGAGCCAGCTTTCAGGACCACCCTGACCATCATCCTTGACTGCCCAAAAGTTCTAGAATCAGTTTAGCACCTGGGTGTGCAGTAGAGTTATCCCTCACAAGAGGCAATGAAAATAACTAGTCTGGAATATCTCTTGCATCTTTTTTTCTCATTCTTGTATGTTTTAAAATGCACATTGTATGGAAAAAACCATAAGAGATACTGGAGACATAAGTTAAATAAGACACAGTTCTTTCCCTCAAGAATCTACAGTTTGGTAGGAAAGACAAGTTCTCAGGCAATTAAAGTGCTATGTGACATGCGTTGTGAGCAAATGGAAATGGTGGACAGAAGAGGCAGAGAAGGCATGCTTCCTCTGAGTTCTGAGGATGGAGAACAGCCAGCTAGGTGAATACTGTGGATAAGAACATCAGGTACATGGAACTGCAAATAGATGAGGGCCAAAGGCAGCGGCAAATAGCATGGCACCTTTGGACAACTGCCAGTGATTTACTTTCACTGGACTAAGTGCCTAAGTGAAAAATGAGGCTGTAGAGGACATAAGAGCCCCTATCTGGAAAGGCTATGCTAAACTTCTGAAAAGCAAAAGGAGACAATGAAAGTGTCTAAGCAGGGAGTGTCACAATTAGAGTGGCAGTTAGTAACAATCCTGAGACAAAACTATAAAGGTTAAGTGGGAGGGAGTCACACTGGGGGCAGAGACTGGTTAGCAGCATGTGATAGATGAGAACTATAGAAGCTTGAACAGGGGCAACGACAGTAGGACCACAGAAGGAAGAACGAAGATACATTACTGACAACATGGGCCACACAGGGCTTGTGACAGATGGGACATAGTGGTTGGAAAAGGGAAGCACCCATAATTTTTTTAAGGCAAAAATTCAATAGAACTTATGGAAAACAAGAAACTTTTGGTCTAAACATGCGAAATCAACAGTTTGACAAATCTCATGGAGCTGTGTTCTATCACCACTCCGCACCTGTCTAATGGACATTTCCTAACTCAATGTTGCAGGGAGCTAATCTCCTCTGGGACATGGATCTGCGTGGCACACCTGGACAGGACATGGGAGAGCAGCTCCCGGGGCTGCTCAGGTCTTCACACAAGGGAAGGAAGGGCTACTGAACACTCACCTTGCTCAGGTGTCTTCAAGGAATGCCGTTTGTCACTTCACTGTGCTCTAGGCCCAGGCAGCCACCAAGAAAGACAGAAATGACTCCCTCCAGTATATTAACCGCCTCCATCCATTCTCAACCAATAGCAGGATAAGAAAAGAAGACAAGGTATGGAAGGAATATTCCAGAGAACCTGATACCATTGAGAAGCAAGGAAACAAGATTAACTTGAGTAGTAATAACAGAACCAAATAAAGGACAAAATAATAAACTCCCAAAGCATCACTCTCTCTTGCTTTGCCAATCCATTCATTACACTCACCAAATACTTTCTGGTAAAAGTTTTTGGTGTGTTTTGTTCCAAAATAATTGATGCTTATGGTACTGGCTAAGCATATAGAGGTCACAATAGCATAAGAATTCCTGCAAAGTAGTAACACGTGAGTCTCAGAAAATCGTGCCCCAGGCCTGGTCAAAGGCATGTGGCCAAGATCCTCCCTCCATTTATTTGGACTTTCTTCCAGCAACAGTAAGAGGAGTCCTGCCCAATAAGTACACTGGTGTAGGGACAGGACACTCAAGTTGAGAATCGGGGTATTTGGAGTGTCCAGCTGTGTCACGCGATCTCTCTCAGCCTTGGTTTCCTCACTCAGAAAAGGAAATATTCATAATTCTTGTCTTGTCAACCTCAAGGGGCTCTTGGGAGGATCACAAACCAAGGTAAACAAAAACCTCTTTTAAATTATAAAACGCTACGGTAACATATGGTTGTTTATTATTTCTCTATTGTCATCAGATGAGGTGTTGGGTTAGCTCAACTGACAGAGTGCAGGTAGTTTAGACCAAATCTATCAATCCCCAAACCCCCACCACCTCCCTCCTAAAGTGAATTACTATTGTCTGTCAGTTTCACACGAGAAGGATGACAGACGTATATGGAAACCAGTGAGCGCTCAGACTGCTCATTGTGCTTTGTTGACTTCAAAGATGAATATTACTACTGGGTATGTTTCAATTTTACATCAATTTGTACCACGAGTGGAACAACAAATGCAATGGGCTCCACTACTATCAACTTGGCACCTCTCATTATTTAGAAACCGTCTGAACAAAATTCTTGAAAGGAGCTTGGTTGAGCCACACAAACTAATGTGTTTGCTTGTGTTTCTCCTAGTTGATGGTGCTTCTCAATATGTCAGTAAGTCATCTGATTACTAGAACGAGACTCCTTGTAGCTAAAATGGAATTAATAAATTATAACACAAGTCACCCAGTTAGTAAACTCCCTCACAATCCTAAATCACTCTTCGGTTTCTGAGTTTTCTTTAACGTTCGAACTTTCTTTAAAGTTTCAGTAATGTATCAGGGTAACTGGTGGTACTTTCGTTGTCCTCTGTGTAATCCCATCCTCATGAGAATACGCCAAGAAAGGACTCGTGTATAAGCACAACTGCATGCCTCCATAGCTTAACTGTACTCATACTCACCCCTAGTTCTAAAATAATGCCTCTTATCTTGTAAATATGGTTGGCATTTTTAAACAAAAGCTAGAGCACCAGTGAGATGACAAGATAAGTAAAACCAAAATAGATGAATTATTTATATACCTAAAACAACAGCAGCAAATCAGGATATGGTTGTTTGACATGTCTAAAGGACACTGTACATTTTAGTGGTGAAGAATCTAATCACTCTTGTTTGACATGTTGCAATATACAAAACGTTCAGATTAGTGGCTGATTCCCTGCTATCGGTCAAAATATATTTGACTCATAAAGACCCAGGCAAATGCAAACAGGGAAGGAGTGGTGTATAACAAATGTAACGTAACAATCATTAATAGTCACTTTAGCACCACAAAGTATAGAATGACAAGGAGGAGACTTCTGTATCAGTGATATGGCTGACTAGGCTTTTATAGAAACTGCTGGAACGGCCCTTAAACTTAAAATTCTAGATTAAATAGTTATTAAACCCTTCTTAATTCATAGCTGGGTTTGTGGGGAATTACAAAATATTGAAGAGTCAAAAGCACGTATAAAAAAACACATAGACAAAGCCAAGGGAGGTAGGATCAAGGGTGGGAGGTGGGGATGGCCAGGGTGGGGGAGAGTGGGGGGGGAAATAACAACAATAAAAAATATTTTTTAAGAGTCAAAAGAAGGAACAAATGTGTGACAACATGAGCGAATCTTGAAGGCATTGTGCTGAGTTAAGTCAGACCAAGAAGGACAAATACTCTCTGATATCACTTATACGTGGAATAAAAAACCTGAACTTGTGAAAACAGAGTAGAATGGTGGTTACCAGGGGCTGGGGGTGGAGGGTGGGGGGATTGGGGAGATGTTAAGGGTCCAAACTTATAACTAGCAGGTAACTGAGTTCTGGAATCCAAGGCACAGCACAGTGATTACAGTCAACAGTACTGTACTATCAACTTTAACATTACTAAGAGACTAAATCTTAACTGTTAGCAACACAAAAAAAGAAATGACAAATATGTGACATGACAAAGGTGTGATGCTACTATAGTAATCATTGCAGTGTATAAATGTATCAAACAAACTCCTTTTACAACCTTAAATTTACAGTGTTATATATCTCAACAAAAAATGTAAAAAGCAGGCAAAAATATACTACTAATCCCAGGAGGTCTAGGGCCTGGGATTTAACAGGTTTAAGAAAAATGGAAACTACCCC